AGAGACACGCACGTGCGCACGTACACATAATTGCTACGGAAGAGAACCAACAACAACAAGAGGATGGTGAATTGGAAGAGCAGGTGGAAAGGAAAAAGATTGATAAGAAAATCAAAGACAGACGAATAAGAAAAGAAAAGAAATCAAAGAATGTTGATAAAACCAGAAAGACACTGTGTGGGATTTCTTTTTATAAACAATTGTATCATAAGAAATACACAACATCAAAAGGTATCGAAAAAACACTTGGTATCATGTACTCCCGATAACATGTAAGCCAATTGTGCGTTTCTTTTTAATTAAAAAACGCTTCAAATTTGAAGTCATGATTTTTTGTTTATTATGTGAAATACATCATACATATTCAGTAGATTTTGATTATAAAATTATGTTACCGTCGCCACACGCATCACACACTACAGTGGCGCCACATAGGTGACCATACTCCGTGCTCAAATGATTAGCAGACATAGTTGGTGACCAATGTTGCTTTCCCAATGCAAATAATTAATTAACTAAGCTACAACGATAAATTTTAACGCTATGACTATATGATCGAATTACATAGCCCCCTTTCCCCGGATCACCGATGACAACGACCTACATGGAGGTATCGACACAGCCACAGATGTACATGATCGTGTAAAAACCGCAAGCGAATTTCCACGAAATAGTCGCCCTCGACCTGCTATATTTACAATTCATCAATCACACGTTGTTTACGAGCGATTACAAACCAAATGATACCGAATTTAATGGCGTCGCGGAAGCTTACACGCCACGGCGCACGCTACACGAGGAATGAGCACGCACGGGTTTTCTTATGCACGCACGCACGCACGGGTTTTCTCACCGCATTTCAGACAGACGCGTGACTTAACAACGTTATGGATTCATACTTGAAATCAGGTGACTAATCGGTAAACGTCTAAAATCAAATCAATTTAAAATCATATTATCTAATTATCATCATATGGCCTAATATCAATCTAAAATCCAAATCAAATCTAAATCAGGTGAATATCAATGGCCGGCGACTACAGAGCAATGTTCTGGTGTAGACACGAACATTATATTGAGTTTTAGATGCTGCGTTTCCTGTCGCCATAGCAACAGTATATGCTTCATTAACTAACTTCAATTATTTATCTGAGTATATTTAATTAACGACTATAAAAATGTGTTATATCTCATTTGGAATTTACTAGTGAATATATATATACATACACATACATGCGCACGCCGACACACACGCATGCGCACACACATATTATATACACACGCACGCACACACGCATCTGAGAGACTGCTACGAGAAACACTCTAACCTGGGTACCCCGCAGGCTAGGGCGTCGTACCTTCTTTTACCAGAGCCATGGCAATGGATATTTATCGCAGAAATCTACTCGTGGATAGCTCGGCTCCATTTTAAACATCTTTTAAAATCAAAATATGAATCATTCAGTCAGCTACTGCGCATGCGCGAACCCTAATTTTAGACTATTAAGCATAGATAAAATTCTAGATCGCCGATGACGACGACCTACCTGGATGTATCGAGACAGCCACAGACGTACATGATCGTGTAAAAACCTCATGCGAATTTCCACGAAATAGTCGCTATCGATCTGCTATATTTACAATTCATCAATCATACGTTGTTTACGAGCGATTACAAAACGAATGATACCGAACTGAATGGCTTCATATATATATATATATATATATAGATATATATATCGGTAGGTTGACTACGACAAGGATGACAGCGGGGTATACAAGTCGAAAAGTAAAAGCTAGGCAACACGCGGAGCCACTGAGGTGCCGGACGATGGCGACACTGTAGTTGACGTGCCTACTGACCAGGTACGCAGCAACCACGTAATGCCATTTAATTACCAGGTAGTGACCAGGTGATGGTCAGGCAATGATTAAGTAATGGCCACGTATTCACTAGGTAATCACCAAGAAATAACCAGAGAGACCGGATACAAGATGGCCTTG